AATAACAAAATACCTAACAGCTTTACATTTAAGCGAAAATATGTGTTTGTAATGGTATTTGCAGCGTTTATTGCACATTTGAAGCATATTTATAGGCTGCCATAACCAGTTCGGTTTAAAAGTGTTTGTTCTAGTGTAATTGGTGTTTATTTGTATTAACAGAAACACTAAGTATGAAGTATGTAGAGTCTAGAAAAGCCTAACGAAGAATGGCCGAAAATAAGCAAACCTGCACTGAAATTCTCCAGCACTTCTTAACGAAAAATCAAAAAAAAAAAAAAATAAATAAAAAAAAACCAAAGAACGCCATCAAAGGTCTCAAAAATATACACTTCATTTCGCCCTTTGTTTGCCCACCCATATTCTGTTAGAACGAATTTTTCGGGTGCGGGTATTGTCGGCAACAATCGTTTTGCGCACCGAATCGATCCAACGATAATAAAACCAAACAGCGGCAACGAACCATGCCTACTTGCACTAACACTAAAATGCTCACATACATACGTATTTGTATATTTCTATGTATGTATGTATGTAAATTAATGTGTGTGTTTAATGCAGTATCCTCATCCCTTTCAACCCGCTCTATACCCTAAGCTTGTATAGTTGAATATATATATGTACATACATCCATACATCATATGTGCATGCATATATTTTTCGTTTAATATTCGTGTCCTTATCGCTGTCAGTTCATAATATTTTGTGTTTACATAAGCGCTGAAACTGAAAATCCACCAAAATCGCATACACTCACGCATACATGCAATTATGCGGGCACCTTTAAACAAATATAGCATACAAATATACTTTAACATACATACATATGTATGTGCATGTATATATTTGACTATATATAAATGTTAAAAATATCCTTGCTACACGCTAGCAACGTTAAAACTGTGTACTGTTTTCAACAGCTTTGTTCTCAGTGTGTCAATTGTTAACTCTCTCTCTCTCTCTCTGCACAAACTCTCACGCTTGTATTATCTGCATTTCAATACATTCTATTGCCATGTGTTCCACTCTCTATTGTGTTTCTCGCTGCTCGTTGCCGTTTTTTTTTGTCTTAATGCTTTATCCTTTTGCGTTGCTGCTCCTTCATTTGCCTCATTACTTCCCTATTATTTTTTATTACTTCTCTCTTGTTGTCATTATTACTTTTCTACTTTGATTTTCTCACATTTTCCATGCGGTTTATCCTATTCTCGTTGATTTTGCATGTATTTGTTGTTGTTGTTAAGTGGCGTTGTTTTTTCTGGGCAAAGTGTCGGTGAGTGAAATATTTTGATGCGAAATAAGTTTTGGGTTAGCGTTTCCTTGTGGAAAGTATAAAAGTTTACTTCCACATCGAATGGTTTGATTTTTAGGCAACACACTCAATACTCTTTGAGAAAAATGCCGCTCTAATTGGTTCGTAACCTTTACCATAAATTGTATCAATCACCGTTAAAAATTGATTTCTCTCGATTAGCGCTTGACAGTTTTATTTTCCAATCTAATTTAATTAATTTAGTTCATTAAATTTAATTTATTTAATTTTATTTTACTTAATTTTTTTTTTAAATTAAATTCTTTTATTTAATTAGACTCTTGATTTAATATTAATTTATATTATAATATACTTAATTAATTTTTATTTTTTAACTAATTAAATTAAAGGATTTATCTTATTTTATTTTGCATTAATTTAATTTAGTTACTTAATTTTTTTTTCTTCGTTGACATAATTATAGCCAAATTAATAACATGGCGCTATTCACTTCTTTTTTTTTCTTTTTGACGCCAAATTGGAGATACCAGGTACAGCCAGGTCCTTCTCTACCTGGTCTTTCCAACGGAACTTTCAAAGCTGGATAATTCTTATTAACCCGGTTGTGATTGTTTCTTGATTCGCTGAACTATGGCAATGTCGCCGTACATCTCGTACAGCTCAACATTTCATCGCCTTCGGTATTCGCCTTCTCGATCCTCACGGAGCTTTCCATGTTGCTTAAAGACAGTTTACACAGCGGACAAAGCGGCGTAAAGAGAGCTCCTATTCGTGCTGTCGAAGACTGATTTAAAATCGACGAAGAGGCGGTGCGTGTCGATCCTCTTTTCATTTGGTCAATGGTTGATTTACCAGGTCTAAAGCCACACTGATAAGGTACAATCAGTTTGTTGAAGGTGGGCTTTAGCATTTCACACGTCACTCTCTATAGGACCTTATACGCGACTGTGGGGTCCCCTTTTAATGGATTGGTCACAGCACACATGAATTTCAAACGTCGGGCATGCTTTCTTCGTCCGACCATATTCTGCAAAGTAGTTGATGCATATACCTTGTCAGCTTTTCCCCGCCATGTTTGAACAGCTCTGCCGGTAGGCCGTCAGCTACAGCCACTTTGTTGTACTTTAGGCGTCCGAACGCTTTTCGAACCTCGTCTTGGTCAGGAAATGGAACGTGTTTTAAAACTTCATCGACTGAGGTTTCGGCTTTCGATTTGCACTGAAAATCAATAGGCTGGAGAAGTGTTCCCTGTATAAATTCAATATACTCTGGGTATCGGCTACTAGATCTTCCTTCACCGCCATTTTGTTTTAGTCGATTTTAATTTGCCTTTATACTCTGTTTGATTTAATATTATAGCATTCACTTTATCTTTTTTAATTTATCTAATTTGAGTTAATTTTTCTGTTTTTGCTTTGATTAATTTAAATTACTTAACTAAATTTTATTTAAAATTATTTTGGTATTTTTTTTTATTAAGTGGGTTAATTTATTCCATTTAATATTATTCTCTCCATTATTTTTAATTAAATTAAATTAAACACCCTAAATTTGAGTTTATTTTATTTTATTTCAATATATTTTAATTTTTTTGGGATTGGTTTTATTTAATTTGACTTAATTGTTTCCTACTTTTTTAGACTTATTATATTTAAATTTATTTCATTTTGTTATATTTTATTTTAATTTATTTTGTTTTATTTTATGTTTTTATTTTGTTTTCTATTATTTTGTATATATTATTTAAGTTTATAATAAATTAATAAAAATAAATAAATTATTTTTATTTCTATTTTACATTTTATTATTGTATTTTAATGTAATTTATACTATTTGTTTTTATACCATCTTATTTTATTTTATTGAATTCATTTATTTTATTATTCTTGCATTGTTTTTTTTTTAATGCAATTCTTTTTGATTTACCTTTTTTTATTGTTTGTTTATTAATTAAGTTATATTATATTTTTACTGCCGGATTTCAATTTTTTTGCATTTAAAATATGTTATTTTACTTTATTATAAATTAATTGGAATTCCTGTATTTTTTATTTAATTTTTTTATTTTATTTTATTTTATTTTGCTTAATTTTTTTGGTTCTCATTTCATTTTTTGTAATTTTATTTTATGATTTTAATGTTTTAATCAGTACTTTTTATTTTAATTTATATTATCGAATTTTATTAAATTATATTTTTACATACTGATTTTATTGAAATTAGTTTTAAATTTTTTCAGTTTTTTTATTTGTTTTCATTCTATTTATTTTTATTTCATTTCATTTGGGTTAATTTATTTAATGTTGTTTTTTTTTTTTGATTTTACTTCTTCTTATTTTTATTTTAATTAATATATTTTATTTTTTTTTATTTTTATATGTTTTAATTGATTTCCTTTTCTTTTATTTTATTTATTTATTTTAATTTAGGTTATTATTATTTTTTTAATTTTAACTAATTTCATTTCATTTTATTTTATTAGATTTTATTTTTATTTGATTTTAGGTTATTTTGTTTTGCTTCGTTTAATATACAATATTTGAATATTTTTTTTCATTTTTGCATGTTTTGATTGATTTTTTTCTTTTATTATTTATTTTATTATTTTTTTAAATTTAACCAATTTCATTTTATTTTATTTCATTTTATTGTGGTCGTAATTTGGTCAATATTTCCTTCAGCGGACTACATGTTTTGACATTTGTTAATTATTTTATTATTTATGTCTCGGTGCTCAGTATTTAAGCGTACAAATTCCTTGTAGGACCGTTTACTCAGTTAACCAACACTAGTTTCCTATTCTGTCTGTTTTATGCCTCTACTCAAATGCTCTCGTACTCTCTCACTTTATCTCTCTCTCGTGGTGGCTCCTTGTAATTGAGCTTCCTTTTGACTATTCATCCTGCCTGCATTTGTGTGCGTACCAACATTTCGTTTCGCTGCATTTCATTGCCAGAAGATTTCGCCCGCAGAATGTTCAAAATGCAAATGATAAATGAAGTCCAGTCGAGTTTCGTACTTCCAGTCGGTTAAACTAAACAGCAATGCTGTTGCTAGACTGTGCGTGAGATATCCTTTTTTATTCTTCTTCTTCGTTCAACCCAGTGTTTGTGTACAAACACATATAAGGGAATATGAGTGTATATGACAAATAAATGTGTTGTGTTTGAGATTTTTCTATATATTTTTTTGAATTTAAATACACTGTGTTTACTTTACTCTGGAAGTGTGTGCATTTTGATGGTGCTGTAAGTAAAAAAATAATTTTAATAAAAGCAAGCAATTTCAGTTTGGGTTGTTGGTGGTTTGAGAAATTGCTTAAAGTGCAATTGGATGATATTATTAAAAGTGAAGCTTACGAAAACTGTGAAAGTGACGAGAAATATTAAACAAAAATATATTTATTATTTAAAGCCTTAAGCCACTCATTTGTGTACATACTACAAATAAAATTTTTTTTTCTTTTTTTTCAATCACTTACCTTTGCGACTTAGACTGATGCTCAGTTTATCATTTATGTGTCGTTTATACTTTGTGCTGAAGTTCTAAGTGTTTATTTTTATTGTGTATGCGCTATTATCCTTAGCGCGCCTATCAGTCAGCCAGCCTTTTCATGCATGCTGGCGCAAAAAATCGATAAAAGTTTTGAATGAAATAAGTGAAAATGTATTAGGAATAATGGAAATTTGGAAAAAAAGAGAAAAACGTGGGAAAATTACAAAGAGTATATATATAGACATATATATTCGCATTTTATAAAATATAGCCTACTTTTAGGTGTTTTATTGTGAAAGATATGCAGCTCCGAAAGAGCTTGCAACCACATTTATTTAAATTTATGAATATAAATGCGTGAAGAAATTGTTTGAGTTAACAATAATGCAAGTTAAAATGAACAGCAACACCAATAACAACGACAATAACGATTTGGCTAATCTACCGCCCCAAAGTGATAAATATGCTCAGATTTTTTTTTTTAAATTAAACGTTTGCGCGTTTTTGTTTCTAATTTTGTTTCTTCTCTCTATATCTCTTTCTCCCTCTCTTTTATTTACAGCTGAAACTATATTGTGCATAAGTTTTTGTTAAACGAAAAAAAATTACTAATAAAAATTTTGCGATAACAGTGCAAAAGTGCTAGAAAATACGTAAAAGTGCAAAATTGCAAAATTTGCAAAAAGTGCAAAAAAAAATTGCAAAATTTGCAAAAAGTTCAAAATCAGCAGAAAAAGTTTACCGTTAACAAAACACGCACATATCATCTACGAAACAAATGGTCGAGTGGAAAATGTATTGGCTCTAGTGTTTGTGGTGCGGTGCTGAAGTGTTATCCTTCCGGCTGCAGAAACGTTTAGACCTCCCCACACATGCACATGTATGTTGTACATTGTGTTGAAGTCAAAAACAAAACAAGAAAAAATTATTTAAATATAAATATATATATATATATATATATATAGAAAGCAGTGAAAGGATAATAAAGGATAACGACTGAATTCCGCTTATAAGCGGCACAACAGTTACCACAATAATTTTGCATTCAGTTCGTTTCTGTTAATCCACAAACGTACACACATAGCCATAAACGTTTTTACTGTGCTGTATTGTATTGTATCACTGTTTCGGTTCGTTTATATTCGTCTATTCGTTCGCCGCCGTACATCCTTATTATTTCATAAATACATACATATGCTATAAAATCCAACAGACCGTGAACTCATACATATATTTATATAAAAGTTTATTTCTTTTGCCGGTCCTCAACTGTTTTGCATCCTAACTGTTTTGTATCCTGTCGTCGTATTCGTACTCATCCTATCCTCCTGTCGTCATCGTAGTCCTTATCGTCGTGTAACCGGCTCCACATGCAAAAGCTCAATTATATATATGTACGTACGTACGTGTGTAGCAATATTTTGTCGGTAACGCGCCTCCTGCTATGTTAGTCCCATACAACGCATAGTCAGTCGTACTTTGGCAGAGGGACAGTAAACGGAAAATACAGTTAGTTGGTTGTTGGTTGAAATTTGTCGTATTTGAACTGCAATATCGAACAAAAGGGTGGTAGAGGAAAATTGCTGGCGCAGTGTTTCCGTTGCACAGTAGTTGGAGAAAGGAGCGACAAGCAAAGACTGCGCCAAAAATTCAAATACTTATATTTTTGAATGTGAAAAATCAAAAAAAAAAGGAATAAAAATAAAAAAAAAAATAAAAATTACATAAATAAATTTTGATCATATACCAAAATACATTTTTAAGTACTTGCAACAAAATCGCCAACTCGTTGGTGTGTGTGTGTCGTGCACGTGTGGCGCGGCGTAAGGAGCAGCAGCAGTCTACGTGGTGTAAACTACTCTGCAACTACACTCATTTATATATATATGTACATGCAGCAGCTGGCAATGGCCACAACTGCGCACATCTTCAACAGCAGCATTTGAAATTCTGTTCACTTCACAAATACGTACGAGCAACTTTTTATTTATATATAATTTTTTTTTTGTTTTTCCCGTGTTGCTACTTTTTAAGAAACGGTGAAAACATATTCGGTGTAAGAAGCAGCGTAACTGAAAGGTAAGTCGCACTTTCTTAACTGATTTTTATGTATATCGCAGCAAATATTACTTTCAAATGAATCCTCAAGCAATTCAATGCCTTTGAGCTGACTTTGCTACTTTTGCCATTTTCTTGCAATTTTTGTACATTTCTTTATCGTAACCAAAATTGTTTTCTCTTTTATCCTCTTTCAATGGTGTAGTCTCTACGAGTGTATTGCGGAAAATATTGCCGCACGTCTCTTAGTCATCCTTTTTGCAGAAAATGCGATTAATGGCTTTTTGTGGTTTCATGCAAGTGGACAAATTCACTTTGTAAATACTCACAGTGCGAGCGTTTTCTATACATATTCATAAGTATATATACATATGTATACAGCATCAGCTCTTTTTGCTATTTACTATTCAAAAAAAAAAAAAATCGTATGTTTTAAACAAATCCTTTTTCTTCTAAAAGGATTTTGCATAGAGTTTCTGTAGGGCTTGAGCATTTATTAATTTTATTTTCCTATTTTATTTTATTTTGTTTTTGATGATTATGTTAGTGCAACGGTAATTCTAATAACAGGTTGGGAATAATGTAAGTCAACTAATGAATAAGAAGCTTTCATTCAATTCTAAGGTTTTTCAGTTTAATTTTTTAGTTGAGCCACTAACGACATACAATTTCAATATAAAAAGTTCCTGGACAAATTAAACTGAACATTCAAAATTTTCCGATGAAAATGTTTTTTATAGTGTAAAATATTTTCAATTGAAAATTGTTAAAGAAATATATGAACACTCCATTTACATATATATGTACATAAAATATTGGTCAAGTAAAAAGTTCGTTCGGTTTTTCTCTAAGATATAGAGTTATTGTCCATAGCACTAGTGTTACGTGTCGCTTTATGTTATACTATACGGCGCTGAAACGTGTCTTTGATTTACAGAGGCCGAATTGTGTTCCGCCAGAACAATGCCAGAACAACGCCAGGCCACACACATCTTTACACAATGTTATCATATTATGAAAAATCAATAAAAAACCGAACAAAATTTTTACTAATGTAAAACGCGTACCAACCTACAGCTTTGTTTGGAGTCTGTGTTTTGCGTATGACATATACATTCGATAAAAAATCACTTTCCGGTAAGAGGACCTGGGACCGCTCTATTCGACAAATTTGTATTTATCGTTTGATTTAAATAAAGCTTGGGAACTTTTCTTTCGAAAAATGTGCTTGAGGCGGGACTATATAACATTTTTTTTATTTACAGACTTAGCAGTTGGCATAAAATACCATTGGGAACACTTGCGATATCAATTTTTTTTTAAGCAGAAGTGGAGTGAAGAAGTGAATAATCTAATCCATTCCCTATTCATTTGTTTCCTTGGCACTCATTTTTTAAAGATTTTCCCCATCTGCATTTCACACTGTCCAATTTTCGATGACTCCAAGGCCTGAATCGAAGCGGGATTGTCCGCTTAGTCTTTAGACCTTACATATTCGCATGGAAAAAAGCAATTTTTTTTATTTACTCACCCATTGGGCCAGAAATTAGCCTCACCGCTGTACCAAATTTGGCTCGAAAACTTCGGATCTCCTTGGAACGCTGGGAACAAAGTCTTGCGACTTTAGTTCGCGCACAAGCCATACGAGTATTCTGTTTTGCATTTAATTAAAGATCTCTTCGTAAAATATGTCAAGTCGTTTCATACGTCATTCCGGCGCCGCATCGACTTTCCTCAACCTTCGTGAACACTCTCAAGATGGGTGATGGTGTTGCAAAAAGTACGATCGGTACATCGGTTATGTAGACCATAAGTTGAACGAAGCAATTTGTAAATTTTTTTGCTGTTCCGACGTAAGTCTTTCCATGAGGAAATACCAAACAGTGCTGAATAAAAATAAAATGACAGTGATAGTGGACTTAATTATAAAATTTTCATTAGTTTGCTCTAAGTCGATTAAAAATCTCAACACTAAATTTTATTGAAATGTAAAAATCTAATCAGTTTTTAAGTTATCGAAGAAGAAATTTCCGTGAAAGCGATAACTAAGCACATTGAGAGCTGGCCAGTGGTAGATATAGTCTTTCTCCAATTCTTCCTCATATGCATCCTCATATCAATTCTTCCTCCCTGTAGCTGCGGCAACAGTCACAAGAGTGTCCGGTTATTACGCCGGTTTTTATGTTTATGGAATTCCTGTTTATGGAATTCCTGTCTAAAATAAATAAAGACTCAATTCTGTTCACTTCGATCAATGGCCAGATTTGGCCTGTCCGAAAAAATGTGTAAAAAATATTAACTGTTTCCAATTTATTTATAATAAAGCTTTTCCGTTCATACTTGTGTTGCCTTTGAAAATTGGTTTGAAACAATTATTTTATTACATCCATACCTGTATTTCATATTATAGCTTCTGCTTAGAAGATAACTCCAAAAGTTATTAAAAAATCCCCAAGTGGCAAAATCAAAAAATTCTGATTGAACACGTTTAGCGTCCAGCATTTCGAAATGAAACTACCTTTTAGAAATTTAGTATCTACAACTATACGATGTAAACTGGTAAACTTGAGTTTAAACTGCAGTTTTTAGCGAAAATGTGTCGTCTCGAGATGGATTCCGAGGTAGTACATTGTTGAGCTTGACTGTAGGGCATGTTTTTGGCCTTAGATTAAAAGTGATGTGTTTGCACTTGTTTTCATAAACTTTTATGTGCCATTATAAAATAAAATAAAATACAGTAAAATAAATTCAAATAAAATAAAATAAAATAAATTCATATAAAATAAAATAAAATAAAAAAATAAAATAAAAAAAATAAAATAAAAAAAAATAAAATAAAATAAAATAAAATAAAATAAAATAAAATAAAATAAAATAAAATAAAATAAAATAAAATAAAATAAAATAAAATAAAATAAAATAAAATAAAATAAAATAAAATAAAATAAAATAAAATAAAATAAAATAAAATAAAATAAAATAAAATAAAATAAAATAAAATAAAATAAAATAAAATAAAATAAAATAAAATAAAATAAAATAAAATAAAATAAAATAAAATAAAATAAAATAAAATAAAATAAAATAAAATAAAATAAAATAAAATAAAATAAAATAAAATAAAATAAAATAAAATAAAATAAAATAAAATAAAATAAAATAAAATAAAATAAAATAAAATAAAATAAAATAAAATAAAATAAAATAAAATAAAATAAAATAAAATAAAATAAAATAAAATAAAATAAAATAAAATAAAATAAAATAAAATAAAATAAAATAAAATAAAATAAAATAAAATAAAATAAAATAAAATAAAATAAAATAAAATAAAATAAAATAAAATAAAATAAAATAAAATAAAATAAAATAAAATAAAATAAAATAAAATAAAATAAAATAAAATAAAATAAAATAAAATAAAATAAAATAAAATAAAATAAAATAAAATGAAAATAAAATAAAATAAAATAAAATAAAATAAAATAAAATAAAATAAAATAAAATAAAATAAAATAAAATAAAATAAAAAAAATGAAATGAAATGAAATGAAATGAAATAAAATAAAATAAAATAAAATAAAATAAAATAAAATAAAATAAAATGAAATGAAATAAAATAAAATAAAATAAAATAAAATAAAATAAAATAAAATAAAATGAAATGAAATAAAATAAATAAAATTAAAATAAAATAAAATAAAATAATTTGAAATAAAATGAAATGAAATGAAATTAAATATTTAAAAATAAAATAAAATTAAAAAGAAAAAATAAAATAATATTTATGATGAGCTTAAAATTATAATAGCAGTTATTGAAATTCCCCAAATGTCACTAAGCTCAAAACGATTTGACCATTTTTTAATAATCTTTACTTCGTTTTCTTGTACAATAAATTTATCAATGCGTGTTGATAACTACAATTATTGTAGCATATCTCTTATCTCGAATTCGGAAAATGTTTTAAAAAACCGAAAGCAAAACAAAACATTAAGTGATGTTCATTCGGTATATAAAAACGAATGCACAAAATAGAGTGGGTAGAACAAAGGCGATATTTTTCTCCAATTTCAAAATTAATTCAATTCAATTATCTATTACAACACTCATCTAAATTATAGTGCAACACAAAATCAATTATGTTAAAAGTTTGTTTAGATCCCAACTCAACGGTGGATAACCTACACTTAAATTGACATACGAAAAACCTATAAATTTTCTTACAGTAAAAGGTTTAAGTTACACAATCAACCGAATATCTGTCTGTCCATCCAAATAAAATACGAAAAAGCATATACATATTGAATAAATAATTGAATCGAGTTGTAATACTTCGATAGTATAAAAAATGAAAATAAAAATTTTAAAGGTAAAAATGTTATATTTTATCTGCTTTTGATTAAATTCAAACAAAGCTTTAAGAAACCAAAGCAGTAGAAAAAAAAAGAAATGAAAACGAAAAGACAGAAGAAATCAAAATCATACAAACTGAGTTGAGATTTGCTTTAGCAACGAATTGAGTTTGAATAGATGAATTGTTGTGAATGAGTAATGGAAGGAATTTGTTCGGTCTGACTATAACAACTATAGTAACAAAAACAGTGCAACAACAAGGCCACACAGGCAGTGGTTTCAAGTATACAACGAAGAGGCAGACAGCAGCAAAGTAAAAGAACAGATTTTTTCCTATTTTTTTTCTTTTGTTTTGGGTGCCGGAGGAATGAAGCTGGAAGACCGAAAAATCAATCAGAGATTATTTGAATGTTTTTGTTTAGTAGTTGTATGTGCTGCAAGTGCATGTGTATGTGTACGCCAACTCACGCTGACCAGCAAATGCTTCTTGCGCTCAAGTGCCGCTGAGATGCTACAGAACTCAAGGCAAAGTCAAGGCAGCCAAAAATACAGAGAGTTAAATTTCGTAGTCGGTATTTGTTGTTGTTGGTTTTTTTTTGTATCTAATATGTCTGCTGCACTGTATGTGCCTGTGGGAGGGTGTATTTTTCCTTTGGCTTGAACAT